CTTCTTGAGAACCTGGCAGTAACCACCATTATTTTTGATAATGAGTGTGTGGAGGATTTAGGGCTTATCTTAGAATAGCTCCTGTATTCTGAGGCAGATTTCCAGCTCAGACTACATCTCAAGTAGTTAATGAGACCACTAAGTTAGTATAGGCTATGGATTGTGTCCACAGAAATTGAACAGTTTTCCCAGGAGAGCATACATTCTAAGCATTCCCAATAATCTCTGGAAGATTGGGGTCACAGGGACACACTTTTTACCTTGTCTTCAGCCATACTTTTTAAAGAAATATTGTGCTATCTACTCACTTGGTTAAGTACAGTTTTTATACTTGATGAATATAAGAAAGCACTGGTTATCTTATAAATATCAAAATAAACTAAGATTGCATAATAGTTTATTCTTTAGTTTTATGAACGTTATCCTGAATTAGTCCAATATGCAGAAAGTAGAGTGTCCATCTTTGTTAATGACATTTATCCAGTTCTGATTCAGAAGTTCTCTGATGACCCAAATAGGGTGATAAGAAAGAGCAGAAACTGAGAGCTTTATTATTTGAGATGTAATTAGTAAGTGGGCCTGTGGAAAGAATCATCTTTGAATAGTAAATACTTAGTTACCTGAGAAGGTAAAATTGAAATTTCTGAAGAGTATAGGATCAAGAAAAACGGAGACATGTGGTAGCAGTGAGACACATATGTAAAAATGTCTGTAAAGCCTGATTTGCAGAGTCCAATATATCTGTATCAATTAGATGTATATTCATCCCAATCTTAAAGAATGCTTAAAGGATCTCATATTTTGGAGTGTGTTCCTAGGGCCCCTACATGAAGAGATACAGTCATTCTCCCACGCAGACTCTTTCTTCACCAAGCTCTTACTTGCTCCAAACATCTTCATTTTCCCTGGTAGACTACCTTATACATTTTACTTACTTTGTAATTTGAAAATCAGATTTTAAAAGTTACTTCTACCCTATCTCATACCTGACATATGTGTGTTGACATCTGCGGGCTCTTGACGTTTGCTGTCCTTGCTCATATTCTATAGGTGGTGGCAGAGTGTAGAGCCAGTGATTGGGGTCCCCTTCCCTTTCTCACAGGGGTGGTCTCCATGAAGTAATGATGCACATGGTCCATTTATAAAATGGAGGAACTTTTCAAAGGCACACTGACAGCCCACGATTGGGCACTGTCTACTTTTAGAGAACCCCTTGGGGCAATTTAAACGACTCTTTGAAAAGAGTCAGTTTGTCTCAGGCTGAAGGGAAATAGAAAAAAATATTTTCCCATAGGACTGCATGAGTGATGCCGGTTATGGGGGTTGCTGTTTGGCCAACGTTGAACATTTTGGGGATGGAGCAAAATGACATATTGCTGTACTTGTACTTTGCCAAATATATAGATTTGTATATTATTATATTTAAAGTTGGCCTCACTCAAAATACTTATGTTTTAAGATCCATGATATTTGGTCATAGTTTGCTTGGGGATAGTGGTAAAAATTCAGTCTTCTGTTTTGTTTTATTTTATTTTTAATTATTTTTATCAATTTATTTTTGTTACAGATGTTTCTTCTTTTTCCCCCATTGACACCTTCCTCCCCATCTCCTCCCCCATACCCAGCTTTGTTGTCTGTGTCCATTGGTTATGCATACATGCATATTCGTTCTGTGGTTTATCTCTTTTTTCTGTTTTGTTTTAAAATGGAAGGAGTTTGAACCGTTTTTTTGGTGTTAAGACTGGTTGTTCCTGGCAGTTCTATTCACCAAGCAACTAAATTGTCATCTTAATAAATAATAAAGCAGCATTAAACTTGTGGCTGGACTGCTGCTGTTTCTTGTTCAATCTCTTGACAGCAGTAGGGCTCAGGCTTGAGTACTTGATACTGGTGGTTTCTTGTTTTGATATATTCTGACCTCTGTATCAAAACCTGTGGTCCAGTCAAGTTCAAAGCAGGATTTCAAAGGTTGGTGGGAAGATTAAGGCTCTGCCTCTGCCACACACTACATATTCAGATGATATATGGCCTTGCTGTATGTTTATATTGTCAGGCCTGCCTGCCTGGTTCTGACAGCAAGGCCTTGTCTGTGTCGTTAGGTTTGTGTACAGTGGGCTTAAACGTCCTTGGGAGGTCTCTCACAGTATATATTGGTCAGAAATATGTAGCTGTTTTTTACTTCATTCTTTAAGGAAGTTAGCATTTAGTTTCTGAGGTATAGAGATTGCTGATTTTATCAGTTACCTGTTATGTGAGTCAGTTTGTCTAATATTTTAGGTAAATACTAATAAGATCGATAAAAAAAACCAGTCATTTTTCTACTAGTGTAGCCCCCTCCCTGAACGACAAAGGATAACAATTATTAGAATGTGATGCTGGGGAGGAGTGATTTAATTAATTAGATTTTCTTATTTTCTGAAATAAAAATAAAGGTAAAAACCAATCCAATTGGAAAAGTTGTTTGCTTTCCTAGAAGATAGCATATGAGTCAACCTACAACACCATAGGCATGATCCAGGAAAGATATAGTTCATAAGCTGGACTTCATTAAAATTACAAACTGCTTTGCAAAAGGCAATGTCAAGAGAATGAGAAGACAAACCAGATACTGTGAGAAAATATTTGCAAAAGACACACATGATAAAGACTGTTATCCAAAATATGAACGGAACTTTTATCAACGATAAGAAAACAACCTGATTAAAAATAGGCTAAAGATTTAAACAGGCACCTCACCAAAGAAGATATATATGATGGCAAATGAGCATGTATTTCCATATTATAATATTTTCAAAAATTGGTATATTTTATTTTCCATTTTACTCAGAAGAAAATACTTTATATGAGACACATGTATAGTGAAAACATTTCCCATTCTTCATCATCTCTTTTGGACTCTACTTGATCAGGTTCTCCTATAAATGCCTGCAGACACCTCAAAATGTTTACTTTCAGACAGTAATCATACCCATTTCATCAGATTATTTAATTTTATTTAAAACATTTATCTTCTTCTTAACCTAATTTTTTCCTACCATACCTGTCACCTGTTTCTTTGTGCATTGTAGATATCAAGAGGAGAATAAAAGGTTACATGCAGGACAGAGTTGTAGAAACAAGTGTTGGTATTTGCTGTGGCCTCAGAGGAGGGTGAGGGTTTTGCTGACAGGAGTTGTTTGTAGATTCTGGTAGATTAACCAAGCAGGGATTCATGGGCAGAGGGGCAGGGAGAAAGGTGAGATGCTCATCCATGATGGTTGTAGACCAGCAACTCGTGTGCATATCCACCTAGGGATGGATCTTTTCTTGGATTAAGTTGGACAGTGTTTTCTCATGTGCCCTTTCCACTTGGATGATTTGTCCTTTGAGGGAGGCAGAAATGGCATTTTGATACTGTTTTATATATTAAGATGATATTATGACTCAAATTTTGCCACTGTTTCTTGTAGTCACTTCCCTCTATGACTAGGGATATATATGTGTATAGTCCTCAGTGCTGAATGAGAGTTGACTGTGGTTTGGCAATTTTTTTCTCTTTACAAAGGTCTTATAAATGTTATCATTAGACTAATCTACCTGATTCATTCACCCATTCATTACTCATTGAGCACCTGTTATGTGCTTGGCCCTGTACCACATGCTGATGAAATAAACCCAGGGAGAGGGATGGGATCAAGATCACAGGAGTAAGTCACTAAGTGTACCTCAGTGAAGGAGTCACCCAGTGAGTGGAAGACTCCATTCTTATTCCCTCTAGTATTCTGTAAAATTAAATATTCAGGGTTGCCAGGCATTTTGGCAGTTGTGTCTGGGAAAAGACAGATGTACTCGGAAAGTTCATTTCAAATCACCTTTTAAAAGCATTTTCTATTTTTATTTGTCACTTTCATTTCAAAACTGCTCCACTGAGGGGCAAATGTGACCTTAAAAAACATTTTAGCTCTGGCCAGTTTGGCTCAGCGGTTAGAGCGTCAGTATGCGGTCTGGAGAGACCCTGGTTCGGTTCCAGCTAGGGGCAGGTACCTCGGTTGCAGTTTGTCCCCGGCCCTGGTTGGGTCATGTGGGTGGTGACCACTCGATGTGTCCCTTTCACGTCGATGTTCCTCTCTCTTTCTCCTTCCCTTTCTCCTACTCTGTCTGAACAAAATATCAAAACAATGTCCTCGGGTTAGGATTAAAAAAAAAAAAAAAAATTTTAAAGTTTTTAGGTGTAGTAAGTCATTAAGAAAGTCTAAATTATTTTGCATGCTGTGAGGTTTTACTGGGTTTCTTTCTGTTACCAATTTCTAATTGAATTAAATTTAATCAACAAAAAGGAAAGCATAATGTAGGAAGTCATAACAAGACAAATATGCCACTTATTAAAAAACAAAATTCAGCTGAGTAAATTAAAAAGATCTTACTAGCTTTATTCAGTGATTCATAAACTGGGCAGCGTCCAATCTAGCAGATAGAAAGGCTCTCTAAGGAGCTGTAAAATCAAAGACTTTTATAGGTGGAAGAGAGCAGGAGCAGGGAAGTTGCACTAGATGAGAAACGGGTGGTTAGTGCAAGGTCACTTTACTTTCAGTGATGGCAGGGGTTTGTCAGGAAGATTACCTGACTTGTGCTGATTGGGTGGTCCATGATTGACTGGTGTAAGATTCTATTTCTGGGAGAGCTGAAACTGTAATTAAGTCAAGTCTCCATATGATAAGGGGTTAGCTTAAATGACTCCATTTTGTCCCTTGAATTATCTTTTTTAACATACAGAAGTATACACTTAAAAATGGTTCAAGTGGTACATTTTATGTTATATATATTTTATCACTGTAAAAAAACATTATGTGCATGTCTCACATTGAAGGTGAAAGATATTCATCAGTGCAAAAATCAAAATCTCAAGGGACCACACAGATGGAGTGAGCAGAACAAGTTGGTGACAATATGTTGATTTATGTTTTCTTTCTTCAACCAGATATGGTTCTCATTTTCTAATGTGAAATTTCTTTTTTTAACAGGAAGGAAAAGCTGATGCGATGCTCTCAATGCCGAGTTGCCAAATACTGTAGTGCTAAGTGTCAGGTAAGAATGCCCAGCTCTGAGGGAAACCTTCACCTTCTCTAACTCTGCAATTTGTCCTCTGTGATGCCTGTTGGCCTATTTCTGTTTTTCACCATCTTTGCCTTATGTTAACCTTTTTTCTTTCAGTTTTAAAATAATATATGTATATGATAAAAAGTTATATATATAATATAAATGTAAAATTATATATAATATATATATCATGAAAGAAAAGTAAATTTTTACTCCTTTCCATCTTCTTACCCTCCTGACCTCAGTCTTGTTTCTGAGATAACTACTGTTAAGTTTCTTGTGTCTTCGCAGCATTTTTTGTTTTCTTGTGTACACATATTCATATATCTATATTCTTTATTTAAAAAACAGATAAAGGCTGTTCTGACACACATTCTTATATACCTTGATTTTGTTTTTCATTTAATAATAAATCTAGAGGACCTTTTGGTAACATTTCACTTTTTCCATTATGAATACACCACAATCATAAGTTTCCCATTAATGAATGCTTAACTATTTTCCAATATTTCATATTGCCATTAATGCACTGGGCATCCTTTTGTGCACACTTTTGCACACTTCCACAAATCAGCTGTAGGATAACTCCTTTTCAGTTGTACTGATTAGTAAAAGGATGTATACATTTTGAATTTTTAAAGATAATGGCAAATTGCCTTCCAAGAGTTTGAGTTAATTTACAACTGACAGTCAACAAGAGTACTGCTGTTAACATCTTTGAAATTCTTTAAAGGATGTGTAATTAACATTCAACATGACCTTTACTATTAACCTTCTGATTAATTATCTAATAAATGTAATTAAGCTCTAATGAGTTGTTATAATGAAAAGTCTAAGTGGAAGTTTTCCATGTGTTGCTTGTTCCCCACCCTCCACCATCCTTTTGCTTCTTATTTTGGCATGTGTATGTGTTTTCCATGTATGCAGGTACTGCCCCTCAAGATTTTTTTTCTTTATCTTTATTGTTGAAACTATTTCAGATTTCCCTCCTCTCCCCCTCTCCCCCATTGACACCCTCCTGCCGGCTCCCAAACCCTCTGCCTTCACTGCACTGTTGTCTGTGTCCATTGGTTATGCATATATGCATGTAAGTTCTTTTGTTTCTTCTTTCAAATCTAGGCCATGCTTATCTGAGGGACTTTCTACTATTTTACTTTCTCTCCTGAAAGTAATTTCTCCAGGCTACAAATAGAGTCGTCTTAATAGAAAAGAAACCAAAACATACAAAAAACTCAGAGGACCCAAATTTTCATGACAATTCTGCCATTACCTAGTTAAATTATCGTGGAGAAAAGACTTAAATTTCTGGACCTCAGTTTTCTAATAAGAGCTAATATTTATTAGACATCTATGTACCAGGCACTGTTTTTTTCTCTTTACTCTTACAGGAATCTTGAGAGGGTTGGTCAGTATTATTATGCTCATATTACTTATAATAAGGAAACTGAAGTATAGGATAGCAGGCAACTTACCAAACATCCTATAGCTAGTAGGCTCTGGAGTTTGAGAAATGAACCCAGGCAGTTAGAATTTAGACTTTTAATTTTTCTTTTAACCCTAAATTTCACTCTTTCTCTGACATTCTAATTAGGTATTATTTTCCTTTTTTTTTTTTTGTATTTTCTGGCTTTTTGTTTTATTTTTAATAAGGATGCACTGTATCTCCAAGGAACATAAAAATAAAAGGTTAGAAATAACACCTTCCTAATAAAAAATGGGAATATGAAGAATAATTAAACGATTGTTTACCTCATTTTGTAAACCAAAAATTCTGTCAAAGTTAAAGACACCTGATTTGGGTAAGATCATTAGCAATAGTAGTAACAAACCCATGCTTTTCTACAAATTCTAGAAAGACTGTTTTATGGTGATGATGTGGCTATTTTATTCATATGAAACAGAGCTACATGTTTCGGGAGACTTCAAGTTAAGAAGACGACATACAGAATTGATGAATTAACATGTTACCTGACACAAATCTTTTAGATGAACTTCCTTTCTGTTCTCAATGACCTAAACGTTTACCTTTATTTTCCTCTATTTTTATGAGTGTTTTCCCTTCATGTTACTTTATCCTTGTGCAGTACAATGGAGGAAAAAAGCAACCCTCTATCTGATTAGAATGAGTAGAGGGAGTGTGGTGGGTGGATATGTCATTTTGATTCATTATAGTCCATGTATTTTTACCACATATATTAGCTGTTTACTGTAGCATCAATAATAATGTCACCATCCGATATACTGTGGGAGGTGATGGGAAATAACCTAGCATGATGAAAGATACAATATATAATACCAGCTAGTGCATTTGCTTATATGTGTGTGGGGGTTGGATGTGCATGTAGAGGTGGGATGGGAGTCAAAAATTGGCCAGAACATATGCATTTAAACTGCTCTGTTTAGCTCAACCTAGAGGGACAGCATTAAATATTGTAATTATTACGGGCACCTACAAAGCAGCCCAAAATTAAACTGACAAACTGAACTATGAACAGTAATGAACAGGAGGCAAAACCCTTGGAATGGAAATTGATATAGAAGATGTGAATTTGTAGCATAAAATCTATAATATGTTTACCCTAGGGGGACATAACTTTGGTTCACTAGCTTAGCATTTGATGTGTGGGGCCCTGCCATCAATGAGTTGTTTATGAGAGGCTATTGAGATAGTACAGGATATAATGTCCCTTGTCCCATAAGGATGGTATCAGTACCATCGGTTTTCACATTTTATTTTTAAACATAAGCAATAGAAGGCTGCATTTTCATTATAAAAATCAACACAACATAAAATAATACAGAGTAAAAAGTAAAAGTCTTCTCCCAGCTTTTTTCCGTCATTCCTATTTCTATTTTCCAGAGGTAATCGCTGTGTGTTTGTGTTGTGAGTGGCAGATAAACACCAAACTGTTAGTCTGTGCTTCAAATATAGTGCCTACATATAGGGATACATTTACTGCTGTGTACAGTACTGTTTCTGATATTGGCCAAAATATTATCTCATCAGTGACTTTGTACTCCTCTGTGTGTACCTTATTATGAGGTGTCATGTAATGTATAGAGGGGTTATATATGAGAACCAGTCTTATTTCTCTGTTGGCATGATCAGAACATCACAGATGATTTGAGATCAAAGGGGAGGAGCAGGTTAAGCTTTTTTATTAAAAAAAAAAAGCATTCTTAAAATTTGCAATATTGATAGCAAATCAATTTCAAATAAATTTGCAAATTATTATTTCACCTAAGCTGGATTTAATTTGGTTCATAATGTGCACATTCCTAATTGAATTAATTGCTAAGCAAAATTAACAGCTGGGTACTGCATCAAACTGCAGTTTATATACTTTTAAAAAGTACTATATTAACAGAGAGAGGCTCTTTTATGTTGATAATTATAGGCCTCTTTAAAAACGTGAATCATATTTTTGGGCTTATATATTATGCTTAGTTATAGAATGATTTGATTCATTTTTGATGAATCCCACACTAGTAAGCACTTAATAGAGTGATTTAATAAGTTAGTTTCTAGAATATCATACCCAAAGTGGTGATAATAAAGAAAGCCAAGCCCTTTGTTCATTTCATAAATAGCTCTGTGCCAGGCTTCAGACTGATGGGACAGAGTGTTCTGTGGAGAAGCTGGCTTTATATCTAATTGTAAACGAAAAGGGAATACTGTATCAAAGTTAAAATTATTTGATCATCCCTATATTTACTTCTAAATATTTCTGGGGATCTAAGATTTTCTTTTTTTGCTTTCCATTTGCCTGGTGAGTGATCCCATCTACTCCCATGACCGGCTGGCATCTGTATATTAATCGTTCTTGAGACTCCATCTGCAGCCCCTCCTTCTTCCTGAGCACCAGACTTTGAAGGCAACTGCCCTCTGAGGCCTCTTCTGCCCTGCAGTCTGTCCTCTTGCCCCCACTTGCTGACCTACAGAAATGAGGTTAAACTTCTCATCCCTTGATGACCCTTCTAGTTCACTTTGCGAATGAAAAACTTGATAATTACTTGTGTTGGCGAGATAAAATGCATGCACCTTCACCTGCCATGTTCAGCTAAAACCCGACATTGACTTTAAACTAATCTGGCATGGAAGTTTCTTTCGAAGAAATTGGAAGTCCATAGACGTGGAGGATTTATTTTGCTCTTTTGGCCAAAAATATCAGTGAGGTCATTCCATCTTGATATAATCTCTTACTAGATCAGAGTGGTTGGCAAACTTTCTGTAGAGGGTTGGATAAAAGATATTTCAGATTTTGTGGGCCATAAGATTTGTCTAAACTATTCAGCTCTGTTGTCATAGTATGAAATTAGGGAATGTAAACCGAATGTGGCTATGTTTCAGGAAAACTTTATAAAAACAAGTAGCAGCATGGATTTGACCTGTACTCTGCATTAGACGATGATTGACTTATTTTGGGGCACTGATGTTACTTGTTACATGGTTTCTCAATTAACCAGGAGACTGTAATTCCCATTGTCCTAAGAAGTAACAATTTATTTTTGTTTCTTCTGTCAACTTCCTACCCTATGACCATCCTCCCGACTCACTCTATATTTGGCCCAATCTTTCTAATTTGATTAAGGCTAGTGGGAAGGTGCTCTTGTTCTACATTTGATACAGCATTCCAGAAGCTTTTAAAGTGATGTCTCATGTCTATCACTAGGTCTCCAGCACGCTCTAAGGAGATTTTATGTAAGATTTAAAATTTTTTTTTTCTTTATTGATTTTAGAGATAGAGGAAGAGAGAGATAGAAACATCAATGAGAGAGAACATCGATTGGCTGCCTCCTGCATGCCTCTCACTGGGGATTTGGCCCACAACCTGGGCATGTGCCCTGACCAGGAATCAAACCTGTGACCTCTTAGTGCATGGGTCGATGCTCAACCACTGAGCCACACTGGCTGGGCTTATGTAAGATTTTAATCAATACCTGTCAGTCAACTGTAGCTTGTTAGACAACCTGCTTAGCTTTCCAGT